ATGCTATACGAGGGGGAGGGGGTAGCCGAACGATCCTATAAACCACATTATTCATATCAGAATAGTGGTTAAAAAGTATTGTATCAAAATTTCTGAAAAACTGTAAACAAGTCCAAAAATAACTAATGTAATAATTAACAAAATATTAAATTTTATGTATTGGAACCTACCACCGGCAGAGGCAAAAATTGTCAAACACTTAATTTTTACATGTTCACAAAAATTATTTTTTAAATATTTTTTCTAAGATTTATTCAAAAAAATGTATGTTAGTGTCTCAAGTGTTCTTTATTTCTATAAAACAAATAATAAATTAAAATATTTTCCGTGAAAATGAAAATTTGACAAAACAATTATTGGGCCAAAGTCTTGCTCAATTTGATAGGCATTTATATCGACTTAAGACCGCATACATAATGCGAATTTTTTAGCCAAGGGCAAGCGCTTGCCCATCATCCTGTGCTCTACCACCAGGATGTTTAATATTTTGCATTATCTAAATTTTTACTGTATTTTTGCACTATTTATGCTAAAAATAAATTAGTTAAATTTTCATGACCATACTTTTTCTAAACTATTGCAATAGATCTGAAAAATGATTTAATTAACAAATACTGTCAAAAATTTAAACTTATTATAAGTGATATTAGCAATAAATAGTTAGAAATTATTACAATTTTATAAAAATATAATTGTATTTGTAATTAGCAGTTTATTTCAATATAAACCAAAAGCAGTTCAATTATGTTTAGAACATTACAAACAAATTGTTGATAAATAAATCCATGAATAAATTAAATAAAATTATAACAATTATTGTCATAATGGTTAGGAGTAATTAAATAAAAATAATTTATTAAAATTGTTGAAATATATTTATTTATTGTAAATTATTAAATTAAAATTATTGTATCAAAAATTCTTAAAAACTGTAAGCAATTCCTAAATAAGTTATTTAGTAATTAATCAAATATAAAATATTACAAATTGGACTAGTATATTATAATAATTACTAATTTGAATTATATTTTCCCACTATTTATGCGGAAAAAATAATTTTAATGATAATCAAAATTTAAAAATACATTAATAGCAACAGTCTTAAATGATTTAAAATAATGTTATTATATCAATTATTAAAATCTTTAAAAGTATCTACATTAGATAACAATATGTTGTTTGAATCCATTTATTTTTTAAATAATAAATACACTAAAAAATTATTATATTAAAAAATTGTACAAACTGCAAACATTTCCAACATTATGTATATAATTACTATTTTAATATAAAAATACAATGAATTGGGTGGATACCGTCTCTGTCAAATGTTTACCTTTTTAGCAGTTATCTAATTAGTTTTATTATTCTCTGAAAAATGATCTAATGCAAACATACTGTTAATTTAACTGGTTTTTAAATAAATTTTGCAAATAGTTTATGTCATTAATTTTATAACATTATTTTAAATTTGAATGTTAAAATTGTTATTAATTGCAATGCTTTACAATCATTCAATGATGTTAAGTTCACATAGTACTTTATAACTATTATAATTTTGATTAATTTACTATTACTTTAAACAAAAGTATTCCGCTTTAAATAAAATACAGAATTGTAGATTCAAAACCTATTATTAAAACTATCAATAACAAAATTAATGTAATTTATGTGTAAAATATTATTTATAATTTAGTGATGATGTTAAATATACTGTAAACGTAAAATATTAGTAATATCAAAATTTATTAATAAAATAATAAATTTTACCATAACAAAAAATAAAATAATCATATAATTATAAACTTAAAAACATACAATTATAACAAACATGGTACACACCGCGATACTATATGCTGACCGCAATTCGTTAAATAACCAACATAGTTAATGAATAATTCAATAAACCACATTATTTAAATGTGAATTTTATGTAGTGGTTGAAAATATTTATTATGGAAAATTTATTGAAATTTGCTTAAAATAAAATTGGTTAGATTCTAAATTTTATTTAAAAATATGTTTACCTTATCCATCATTTGTACCAAATGGGCAGCCAGAATACATGGTAAAATCATTGGACACGCCCCACATCATTATATTCAGCTCCATATCATCGGCCATAAGCAACCAATTAGTCAATTCTTTTATTTCATATTCATAGATATAACTATTATCATTATCTTTTGCAACGGTAATATCCATCATATCATTTAAGATAGCATGTTGCTTATTTAATTCATAACGTAGATCATAGATAATCCCTAAAAATAAATCCTTTAACACGCGTTGATAGGACTTAAAGTTCATAATCTGCGCGTCCATTGACTTAACACGTGTTAACGCGAGTTTCGCATCAGTTCTCAGCATTTTAATCTCGGTATTAGCCTTATTTATAGCAATCTCTGTCATATTCCTCACATTATTTACCATCATTTTTATTTCATAGCCTTTAGCATTAAGATCCAGTACCTCGGGACGCTCAGCCTGTGTCTTACCCGGGTCAAAATATTCGCAAAATGTTTGTTTTACCAAGCTCAGTGCATTCACTTCTATTAACTTATTGTCGAGCTTAGCTAGTTCGTTTTTCACATATTTAGCATCATCACCACCGACTACTTTATCCATTAAACCTGATATTGTGTTCCTGTGTTTCTTGAGTTCTTCTTTGAGCCGTTCTTTGATGCCATTAAACACTTGATTCACTTCAGACAAGTAGGTCTTCGCACCCGATATCTGATCGTACAGTGCGTTGATATTAATGGTCGAGTGAATAGCCTTTGTCTTCGTGTCTATCATCTCGGCCTTAGCCCGAGTGACAGCTATTTTTGTGTGGTTTCTAATGTCCGATAAAATGATCTTGTTTATTGCCCACAATTTGTCCTTGCTAGGTGTCACTAATTCATCAGCCGGACCTAAAAATATTAGGTATTAGTTGTGATTAATTAAATTTATTATTTATTGATATAAAGCTTTATAATAATACATATTTAGTAATAAATAAATTATATATTGATATATACCAAGGTCAATTATAGTACTTTCAGTTAATGTAGTGTTACTTAATGTACTGGTAATGTAGTGATCAGTAGTTGCGATACACGTAAAATAATTCACAATAAATATTAAGACTATTTTCGCATTTAAATTCATTGTTAAATTAGTTTTTTATCAATAATTATAAGTTTATTACTTAAATACAGTGTATTTTCAACATATAATGTAAAATATTGCAACCAATTTTATTAATGTTTTACGTGTTGTTTCATTATCACTAATAAATTCCAACAAAGTTACCTAAGAAAAATAAAGTTAATTTTTAATACAAAACACGTCTCGAGATTATAATCGGTGTTTTTAATTTTAAAATGGTTTTTAAATAAATTAATTTATAATGTTAACAATACTTAAAGAAATTACTTTATATGAAACATTATAACCTTGCACTTTCTAAACTTTAAGCGAAATATTTATTATGTTTATTCCATTGATGTATTACACAATAAAAATTAAAAACACTAAAATTATATTATTAAATTATTTTGTAGACATGTAAATTAAATGAAATGTTATATAAAATTTGAATAATGATTATTATATAAATTTTGAATTGTTTTATACAAGATAACTATATTTTTAAAAGCATACTTTTAATGTGTATGACTTGAACACGTAAAGCGAAATATATAGCGAAATATATAGCGAAATATATAGCGAAATATACTTGTACTTTATATAGCAAAATATTAAGACATTAATCACGTATTTAAGTTATATCATATGATATAATAATCGGACGATTTTACACAAACATGATCATTAAGAATATATTACACCTTAAAATATAAAAATACTGTATTTGATAGAAAATTCTTTATTTATCAAGGTTTGTCACTAGGTATAAGTCTGATCATAAATATTACGAATTAAAAATGAGCCCAAAAATCACTTTTATTATTAATATTACAATATTTTGTGCAATAATCAACACAAGTATCAATAAGCTGGGAAACGATAAAACCTAAAGATTACTCATTAATATGATTTGTATAATACAATTAATTAGAATAATAACAATTTAATCTAATTTAATTATGCTAAAATAGCAACAAACAAAGCGACAAAACAGCCTGATGTATTAACTGGCAATGAAAGATATAATATATCATAATAATCATATTATGATTAATCCAATGACACGCAACATGACCATGATCATTAGAAAAAAGAGGTCTTGGTTTCAATCCAATCGGAGCGATGGCATGGGTCGGCACGGGTCTGATAGCTATGATCGTGATACTGATTTTGCCGACTACGACTTGGGCAACCACACTTACGATTTTGATTAATTTGATTGTGCTCATAATTGGATAATTATTATGTTTAATTAATGTGAATCTAATATTTCTATGTTTAATTCATAAATTGCCTAAAAATTTAAACATTTATTAATAAAACAAAATCTGTTAATAAATTATTTTCTTAATCAATAAATAAATTGTTTAATTTAAATCAATGTTTAAATAATGTATTTGTCATTTATTTTGTAAAATGTGAGTTCGTTGTGATTTATTATGTGTTTATTATTAGAAATATCTTACAAGGAAATATTGGGGTGTTCATTATGTAATCATAATTTAGAAGTACTTTAGGTTTGAATGGTTGGCAAATTTTTCTGGTATATGTTATCATATCGGTTTAAATGCTATATTATGCAGTCATTATTCCTCTTTAA